GGAGGGGAAGGAGGAGGAGGGAAGACTTTAAATTAAGGAACGGAAATGGGATGGGGGTCGAAGGTCATTTTGGAGGGAGGAGAGGGAGGGGGGTGAAAGGGGTGTGGATTACCGAGGCAGTCTGGGTGGTTAGGGAGAGGGAAGGTAGGAGGGTAGGAGGGAGGAGAGAGGGATGGTGGGAGGGAGGAGAGAGGGATGGTGGGAGGGAGGAGAGAGGGATGGTGGGAGGAAGGAGAGAGGGATGGTGAGGGAGGACAGGGGATGGTGGGAGGAAGGAGAGGATGGAGAGGGAGGTGGAGAAGAGTTTAAGTCAAGCGACGAAATGAGGTGGAAGGAGGGAGGGAGGGAAGGCCATTTGTTGACGGGGTGTGATTATTGAGGTCATGGGGGGTTGAGATGGAAGGAGGGAGAAAGTTCCAGGGAGGAGGAGGAGGAGGAGGAGGAGGAGGAGGAGGAAGAAGAGGAGGGGAAGAGGAGGGGAAGAGGAAAAAGGAGTAATCATCATAATATTTTAACCTTGAATTTTATCGTCTTTTATTTCACCGTCTTAATAACAACAAATATATAATAATAACAGCAACAATAATAATAATAATAACAACAACAATAACAACAACAAAAACATAACAGGGAAAAAGATGAGAACACACAACACAACACAACACAACACCAACAGCTCAGACAACACAACACAACACAACACAACACAACACAACACCAACAGTAAGACGCCAGACAACACAACACAACACAACACAACAAAGATACAGTACCTGGTTCCTGCCGCTGCCTTACACTGCCCCAAGACCAAGGAAGAGATTTGGTAATGAGGGTTAACCTACCTGGAGGTCAAGCAGGTGTGGAAGCAATTAATTAACACAAAGGTACAAACAGGTAGGGACGGAAATAACAACAATGAGAAAGACGGAGAAGTAATAATAAATAATGAATAAGGGAATAACAAAACAGGGAAATAAAAGAGGAAATTACTGACGAGAGTGAAGTAGGATCGCATAAGCTTGACATACACACAGTTAGAGGCGGTGCGGATACAGTATACTGTAAGGTGGACAAAGCGTCAGGTACTATACTCGACTACACCATTTCACATGGACCGAACCAGGGATCATTAGGACAGAAGGCGAGTGTTATATCCACTCACCCACCGCAGCTATACCACGGGAGAGAGAGAGAGAGAGAGAGAGAGAGAGAGAGAGAGAGAGAGAGAGAGAGAGAATAACAGGAAGCTACAATAAAGACATAACAAAAACAAACTGGCAAATAAGGGAACAATAACACTGGAGGAAAAGGTAAAATGAATAGCAATAACAGATAAGAACTGGGAGAATAACAATCCCGGGAGGAGAGGGAGATAGAGAGGAAGAGAGAGAGGGTGAGGGAGAGGGAGAGAGTAAGAGGGAGAGGGAGAGAGTAAGAGGGGAGAAGGGAGAGAGGAGAGAGGGAGAGAGTGAAGAGGGAGAGGGAGAGTAAGAGGGAGAGGGAGAGAGAGAGAGAGAGAGAGAGAGAGAGAGAGGAGAGAGAGAGAGAGAGAGAGAGAGAGAGAGAGAGAGAGAGAGAGAGAGAGAGAGAGAGAGAGAGAGAGAGAGAGAGAGAGAGAGAGAGAGAGAGAGAGAGAGAGAGAGAGAGAGAGGAGGTGGAGGTGACAAATTGGTCAATCAGAATATAATAATGAAGACTCAGTGACAGTCCTACCGGGGGGGGTAGGAGGAGGAGGAGGGGAGGAGGAGGAGGAGGAGGAGGAGGAGGAGGAGGAGGAGGAGGAGGGAGGAGGGAGGAGGGGGGAGGAGGGGAGGAGGAGGAGGGGAAGAGGAGGGAGGGGAAGAGGAGGGGAGGGAGGAGGGGGAGGGGGGAGGGAGGGGAAGGGAGGGGAGGAAGGGGAGGGGAGGGAAGGGAGGGAGGAGAAAGAGGGGAAGGGGGTCATCGAGGGTTGATTACTACTAATTAGGTAATCAGCTTGCTGGTGGTGGGTCAGGTGAGAGAGAGAGAGAGAGAGAGAGAGAGAGAGAGAGAGAGAGAGAGAGAGAGAGTATCGCCGCCTCATCTGATACTTCTTTCACGCCAGGAACACAGTTACAGTGGCCCCAAACTCCCCCTGGGGTGATAGGCAGCTACCCATTACAAGCGTGGGTCGGGGCGTGGGCGGTGAGGGTGAGCCAGGAGAAGTGGTCAGGATGTTGAGACTGGCCAGGACTGTGAGGCGACATAGGGCCAGGCAGCGGGAGTGGTGGGTGGCCGAGGAAGAGCCCACCGGGGAGTTAACACGGGCCATACCCAGGAGGAGGAGGTGGTGGTGTACTGCATCAGTTAGCAAGCACCGGCCCCTGCCACCCCCCCTCCCTCCATCACCTCCTCCAGTTTCACGGTTCATTACCTCACACCGGTTCCTAGTTCACCCTCAACAGTCACGCTGGACAATGATCAGTACAGTTGTGTGTGGAGGTCCCGGAGACCCACTGGACTAGAGGAGGAGGACACGGAGGAGGAAGGAAGATTAAGGACACCATAATATACAGCCCTGAGAGAGTGAGAGAGAGAGACAACAGCCAAACTTCCTCCATGTGTCAGCGGCTCTGGTTGAGGAGGACTTGTGATAAAACCGTGTTAGTTGTATGTAGTCTGCCAGGGGACACCACACACCACCACTACACTACAGTAAAACTCTCCACCTTCCCCTTCCCCCAGCAGCGCCTCCCTCCCCTACCCCACCAGCAGCGCCTCCTCCTCCCCCACCCCACCAGCAGCGCCTCCTCCCCACCCCACCAGCAGCGCCTCCTCCCCCTCCCCACCAGCAGCGCCTCCCTCCTCCCCTACCCCACCAGCAGCGCCTCCCCTACCCCACCAGCAGCGCCTCCCTCCTCCCCACCAGCAGCGCCTCCCTAGCAGCGTCTCCGGTACCCTCAGATAGGAAGAATCACACTCTTTCTGTTTCACTTAACGCCATCGAGAGTGAAGGTCGCCCTGCCAACCCGCAAAGAAGGTCTGGGACGTGAATCATTGCACAAAGAGTCACCCCACACCTAAGACCACCAACTCAACCACACAACCAACATCCTCGACCACACAACCAACATCCTCGACCACACAACCAACATCCTCGACCACACAACCAACATCCCGACCACACAACCAACATCCCCGACCACACAACCAACATCCTCGACCACACAACCAACATCCCCGACCACACAACCAACATCCTCAACCACACAACCAACATCCTCAACCACACAACCAACATCCCCGACCACACAACCACCAACATCCCGACCACACAACCAACATCCCCGACCACAACCAACATCCCCACACAAACCAACATCCCCGACCACAACCAACATCCCGACCACACAACCAACATCCCCGACCACACAACCAACATCCCCAACCACAAACCAACATCCCCGACCACACAACCACCAACATCCCCGACCACACAACCAACATCCCTGACCACACAAACCAACATCCCCAACCACACAACCACCAACATCCCCAACCACACAACCAACATCCCCAACCACACAACCAACATCCCCAACCACACAACCAACATCCCCAACCACAACCAACATCCTCAACCACACAACCAACATCCTCAACCACACAACCAACATCCTCAACCACACAACCAACATCCCCAACCACAACCACCAACATCCCCAACCACACAACCAACACATCCTCGACCACACAAACCAACATCCTCGACCACACAACCAACATCCCCGACCACACAACCAACATCCTCAACCACACAACCAACATCCCTCAACCACACAACCAACATCCCCAACCACACAAACCAACATCCCAACCACACAACCAACATCCTCAACCACACAACCAACATCCCCGACCACACAACCAACATCCCCGACCACACAACCAACATCCCCAACCACACAACCAACCAACATCCCCAACCACACAACCACCAACATCCCAACCACACAACCAACATCCTCAACCACACAACCAACATCCCAACCACACAACCAACATCCCCAACCACACAACCAACATCCCAACCACACAACCAACATCCTCAACCACACAACCAACATCCTCAACCACACAACCAACATCCTCAACCACACAACCAACATCCTCAACCACACAAACCAACATCCCCAACCACACAACCAACATCCCTCAACCACCAACCAACATCCTCGACCACACAACCACCAACATCCCTCGACCACACAACCACCAACATCCCCAACCACACAACCAACATCCTCAACCACACAACCACCAACATCCCCAACCACAAACCAACATCCTCAACCACACAACCAACATCCTCAACCACACAACCAACATCCCTCAACCACACAACCAACATCCCTCAACCACACAACCAACATCCTCAACCACACAACCAATCCTCAACCACACAACCAACATCCCCAACCACACAACCAACATCCTCAACCACACAACCAACATCCTCAACCACACCAACATCCCTCAACAAGATCTTTACATATAACTCACGTTCAGACAGACAGGGTGTTGGAGGCATATGTGTGTGTGTGTGTGTGTGTGTGTGTGTAGCCTCCCGTTCCTTCCAGCAATGACCAGTGTGTGGGGAGGGGGAGGGGTTAAAGAAGTGATTCGTTGTTAGGCCAAGCATATAGTGCGGTGAGGAGGGGGAAAGGAGGGGGAGTGGAATGGGGAAGGAGAGGGGAAGAGGGACGTTAGTGAGGGGTGGAGGAGAGAGAGAGGGGAGGAAGAGGGCGTTACTGAGGCATAATACCCGTAATATAAACAGTTGCCGGTGCTATTAATAACAACAATATTTACTCACTATAATCATCACACAGGGTTTACATCACTGGTCTGGCACGCATATATAGTCATCCCAGGTATACAGTTCAACACCTGTATACACCACGCGAGTAAACAGTGTACATAGACCACGGTGGTATACAGTTTCCAGCACGAGGGTGTAGATAAACAGTAATGGTAAACAGTATAGCGATTTGATCAAGAACAGTAAGAGCAGCGATTTGATCAAGAACAGTAAGAACAGCGATTTGATCAAGAACAGTAAGAACAGTGATTTGATCAAGAACAGTAAGAGCAAAGGATTTGATCAAGAACAGCAGGAACAGCAATTTGACCAAGAACAGCAAGAATACCAATTTGATCAAGAACAGCAGGAACATCAATTAGATCAAGAACAGCAATTTGATCAAGAACAATGTAACAAGTCAGAACTCGTATAGAAGATATTACATATAAGTAGAATATTTATAGTAAGAGGAATGTAAAGGAGAAGTTTGGTAGCGTGGCCGGTTAGTTATTCACAATTTATATTATCTTATACGTTCTTAAGGGACAACTTCTCAAACACCACTTCGATACAACTATTTATTAACGCACTCAATGACATGGACACATTAATATCAATATTATATCGGAGTTACAGCACATTATGTTTACGTTACTCGACACTGAATTCTCGGACACAAACATGAAACGAATACACTTCCCCACAGTAGGTAACTCACCAAAGAGGGTACTGACAACACTCACATTTGACCTGGTGGAGGCCCAGTGGGTACTGGCTGGGCTGTCTCGTATGGGAGACTGCTTAGCTGGAGACGCCGGGGCCTGGTGGGAAGTCTCCTCCCGACCTGGGGGAGGACGAGCGTGACACTGTGCGAGTGAACAGAATAACGACCCGAACGGGAGAGAGATGAGTCGGATGAGAGAATAAAGAGTAACCAGAATCTGAATAAGAATAAGCAGAATAACCTCATGGACAGGACTGCAGGGCCTTATATGGGGCTCAACAGCCGGCGTTAGTTAACACTAAACTGGTTAGATCTGGACAGCTGTGTCCAGGTGGTCGTCCAGGTGCTTGACTAGGTGTGGTTGTACGGCAAGTCACCTGCTAACGAAAGTAATTAGCGGACGAGGTCAGGTCCCTTGGGTCCTGACCCAGGGTATGTCAACCTGATATGTTGGGGTACCATGAGGCCTGACTGTACCTCACTGTTATATGTTGTAATTCTGTTGTAAGCTATGGTCTGATAATCACCATTACAACAACAAGAACAGCAATTTGATCAAGAACAAGCAATTTGACCAAGAACAGCAGGAACAACAATTTGATCAAGAACAGCAGGAACAGCAATTTGATCAAGAACAGCAATTTGATCATGAACAGTAATTTGATCATGAACAGCAATTTGATCAAGAACAGCAGGAACAGCAATTTGACCAAGAACAGCAATTTGATCAAGAACAGTAAGAACAGCAAATTGATCAAGAACAGCAAGAATAACAATTTGATCAAGAACAGTAGGGTCTCATGCTTAAGCTTGGTCAATGTATAATCAATACCAAAATAATCTACGGGAATAAAAACTGAAACCTTCTTGATAAACAAAAAAAAACAAATAAACTTTTCAAACGTTTCAATTAAAATATCCAAATCATTTTCCCGGTCACTTTCTTACCTGGGCACAGTGACGTCATTCCCACCTGCGTTAATTACATGTGAACGTTACCTTACCTGTAGTGAAGTGCACGGAGGGCACCTACGGTCAGCTCATTAACCTGTCTGTCACCCCACTTACCTGAAAGAGAATAAATTAGTCAGAAAAATTATACAAACATACATACATACATACATACATACATACATACATACATACATACATACATACATACATACATACATAAACAGGTAAAGACCAAGACCCCAATGACGTGTTCGGTGTTAATAAGCAACATCCATCATCACCACGGTTGTTAATGAGACAATGTTCACCTGAGTACCACGACACCTACCTTTCAGCTCCAACTCAAAATAAAAACAATGTAATTTTTTTTTCTTAGACTACGTGTTTAAAATGAACCACTAGCACCACCCCCAGCAGCAGCAGGACAGACGTGTATTCAACAGGAGACAGAAGGGGGAGGGGGGAATGGTGGGGGAAGGGAAGGGAGAGGGAATCTCCATTCCTCATCAATGTAGCGCCCATCCATCAAGATTCCAGTGAGAGTGTGGCGAGTGGTGGGTCTGGTCAGTGGTGGGTAGACGGGGGAGGGTGTGGGGGGTGGTGGTAGCTCGAGGACTATGTTGATGATGATGTACTTGAAGGAGGAGGTGGTGAGGTTTAGAGGAGGGGAGGAGGAGAGGGTTGAGGGTTGGACTATGGTTTTGATGGTTTGAAATGAGTAGAGTCTCTCTTCATCTTGTCTTCCCTCTCTTTTCTCTCTATCTTTCACACACACACACACCATCCAAAGCCCCTCCCTCCCTCCCTCCTCTCTTCTCCCAATAATATCATCACTCCACCATCGCCTGACCCCGCCTTTAAATACACTTTCCAAAAATTCCTCGCAGACCATTAACGTGGTGAGGGAGATGATAGTGGTGGTGATGATGATGATGATGATGGTGGTGATGATGATGGTGGTGGTGGTGATGATGATGATGGTGGTGATGATGGTGATGGTGGTGGTGGTGGTGATGATGATGATGATGATGTAGGATGATGATGATGGTGATGATGATGATGGTGGTGATGATGATGATGATGATGATTATGGTGGTGATGATGATGATGATGAGCAATACGTAACTGGAACGAAGCACAACA